AAAAGGGGACACAAGGGATATATTTTTTTCTCCTGTTGTGAAGGGATAAAGAAAGATAGCCGTTCATCATTTCATACATGGAAGTCCTCACAGAAGAGGTATCCCCAGGGGGATAGATTTGCAGGATTAATTCTATTCACATAAAAACATTGTAATTAATGCATGATATGATTATTTCGAATGAATTGTTTTTTATTGCTCCTTGCTCCCAACATGTCTCAATGTTCAGGCTCCTCGCGAGATGCCCCAAGTTGTGTCTTTCGAAGAATGCTCATATTCAAATGAACAACTCAATGCCTTGGGTTTTAACGGTAAGAAAAGGTTAATTTTGAGTCTAAAAAGACAATGATGTGATATTATTGACTCAAAGAAAGGTATGGGTGTATCAAAAAGATAAAGACAATGTTCAAGAATTTCAAAGGGAAGTTATGTCAAAATTTGGTCTTTTTGGTAATGATCAAGGTATTTCATTTTGGGGTTTGAGACATGATAAGAAAGGTATATTCTTGTCATATGTCAAAAATCTATAATTTTTGAAGAGTTAAAAGAATCCTTAATTCATTTAATATTCGAATAACTAAAGATTAAAATTTGTTCAATTGCTCCACCTTAGAAAGTAGCATAAATTCAATCGTTTAAAGGATTAAGCAAACATGAAATATCAGTGACGTGTTCAAACAAAACAATCCTCTAAGTGCAAATGGTATATGCGATGCCCCCTTTACAGTTTTCAGATGAATATTTGGGGCTTCTTATGTGGTAACAACTAACAACTTCAACATTGTAGCCCTTAGGATATGGGAATTCTGTTCTCAGATCATCTTGGCAGGCTTTGTCCTACAACCAGCTGATCGGGCTCCCACTGTACTGATTTCAGTTTTTCCATGATATTATAATCTTGCTTCCATGTGGTGTCATGTGGTTCAAACCACTTCATTGAATTATCCATGAAGAAATTTCATGTTTATGAGAATACTTAAAAAATGAAATGTATATGCAAAATGCAAAATGTAAAATGTAAAAATGCATGAAATGTTCGAGGCATTGATCCAAAAACATGTCTGTTATTGTAAATAACCTTTATTGGGACAAAAGTGTTTTATCTTTTAAGAGACAATAAACATATTTAAAGGTACATTCGGACTAAATCCTCTAGACCCGGAACAGGTTGACTAGTCATTTGCCTTCGTCTTTCACCGGTTGAATAACCTGTCGAACCGCTCCGGCCTCTCTGGATGAACCGTGAAAATGTTGAGTTTTTATTTTGTATTGGTTCCCAAAAAGTGTCGAATGACTTCATCTCTGGCTTTCATCCTTTGCTGAATCGGAAATTCCATTGAAATCCTCCATCAAAAGGATTATCCGAAGTTCATTTGCTTGTTTCTTGAATTTGTCGACAGTGACTTGCCATCTTGTTCTTGTTGTCTTTGAATGGACTCTCGAGGTCAGTAACCTTTTTTCGTCTTGCCCCTGCCACCTTTGTCAACCCATTTTTGAAAAGTTAACTTTTGATGTACTTGATTGTGAGCACCATGAATGTGACACATATTTGTCTTGCAAATTGTCCTCATTTCTTTCTGAGTCTTTTCTGACCATAGCCGGACCCCTGCGTTCTTATCTCTTGTATTACAACCCCTTTGTCCATTAATGCAGATTATTCATGTTTTAACAAACAAGTTTTTTGGTGGATCAACACCTCTTTTAAATGATGCAAATAATGAAAACAAAATAAAAGAGAACAAAAGTAAAATAGAGTTAGTGAGATAAATCAAAACAATAATAAAAACAAAAATCCTACCCCACATGATATCTACCCCGCATGCTTTAATTCCTACCCGGACATGATCTCTATCCCGCATGCTAATTTCACACAAATCCTAACCGCATATTTGTCTAGTTCGCATGCTTTGAACAGAAAGTAAAGCAGGAAATAATTCCGGCATCCTAGGGTTTGAAATGAGGTTTTGAGGTAGGCTCTAACTCCTTGTAGTCTCCCGAGTTAGGTTCTAAAAAAATGGTACCGAGTTCTCCTTGCTGGTGCCTCCTTAGGCTTACCAGACCCTTAGTCCTAAACCCGTCACAGGCTTGTGTGGACTAAGTTAAACTCGAGAGGAAACATTCCCTTATGCCCATACGGAGAATAAATTCACACGAAGACATAAGGTATATGAATCCCGAAGGCTACTTGCTAGGCCCGCACGGTGAATAAATTCACACGAAGGCGTCGCTTTTACCCCCACTTAAATAGGGTTCGGAGCTCGGGTATAGAGCCTTAGATGAAAAAGACTTTAAATGCTGAAATCATTGAGAAAACGGTTAGTACAACTATTTATTTGAAAAATAATCAAAGATAAATAATTGGAATCGAATAAATAAATTAAAATTTAAATTTACCGTTTTCGCATAAAAGACAACCGAAAATTAATTTCGGCCTGACTCACTTACATGTCCCCAGCGGAGTCGCCAAGCTGTCGGAACCATCTTTCGGTTGGGGCCCGAAATCGGGCTTCGACTTGGATTAAAAAATGATTTGGAGTCGCCACCGACCATTTTAAAATGAATTTAGGTGGGTCGGACACCATCTTACCTGATCTGCGTTATACCAGAAATGTGTCGGGTTCGGAGTCGGTTACGGTCAAGGAAGGATTAGCACCCTTGAACCGCCCTTTCGGTACCAATTAATTTGTCGGATGCCTTTAATTGCAAAAATTGAAATTTAAATTTCAATTAACCTAATTCAAATTATTTACCTTCGATTGAAAAAAAATCCCCTAAAAAGTCAACAATATTGTTAGATTGTAAAATAAAAATAAATGAAAAAAATAATAAAAAATATTAATATAATGATAATAAAAAAATAAATAAAATAGATAAATAAAATTGAGTAAAAAAAACTAAAAAATAATAAAATATAATAAAAAACAAAATAAAAAAATGTTAAAATGAAAATCGAACACAACCAACGAAAGAACGAAAAAAATAAAAAAAAATAAAAGGGACCAAAATGAATGATGTTTAAAATGGAATATCATAACAAGAATTAATCCTGAAAACTCAAAAGCATGTTACTTGCACATTACCATATATAAACGTGGTCCCCACATGAATATAATTTAAAGGGTTTTTTACCCAAAGCATTATAGGCACGTGAAGTCCATTTGGAACCCCACCAAATATGCTTGTATTCTAACACCTTCAAGACTTTGCTTCAGTCTTTGCAGATCTCATTAAGGCTTTGCTGCCGCCTTTGCCTTGGTAATTCTCTTGAGCCTCATTTCGCCTGGTATGTAATTCGAGACCAAGAATTGATGTTTTCCCACGCGTATCTGCTTGGGTGAAAACCCTTTACTCCGATGAAGCAAGCAGTGGTCGAGCCTCCTCCAAAGGTCAGTTTTATTCTTCCTTTCGAACAAATTTCTTTCTGGGTTCGAATATGGTTGGAGATTTTTCTCTCTGGTTTTTTTTTTTCACACTGAATGGTTTGCCTTTCAAATAGGTTCGAATACCCTATTTTTATTTTTTCCTCTTGTTTCTTGTTCAAGAACCCTTAAAAACGGTTCACTCCTCCGTATATTTCTTCCCCCGTATTTTCCAGTGTGATTTTTCGTGTGCCCCCTGTGTGTAATATGCGTGATCTCCCCCTGCTCTCGTGATTACATCGAATATTTATAGCCTATGATTTTAGTGTTTGATTCCTATTAGAACTCTAACTCCTTACTTGTTGGTGGTTATCTTGCGTCGGGGAATACGGGGTTGTTGGAGGTGAGAAGCCCCATTGACGCATGATTCGTTTGTTGAACCAAGATAATCGGTTGCGTGGAGCGTGAGACATGGCGACCGAGCGGCTGGGGTCTCCACGTGGCGCTGAATGAGATACGAAAGTTAGGGTTTCTAGTTCAGGTGTTCTGTTGATTTGGGTGCGTGTGTTGGGTCAGTAGAGTGTTGGCCGTTTTTCTGGGCCATCTGGTCTTGGTCCTTCATTTGCATTCGGGCCCTGTCACAAATGTAAACAAATGGATATGTAAATATGTGTGCAATATGTGTAATAAAATATATAATATAAACTATAATGTAAAAATATTATATAATTTTAAAGGACGAAATTTAGTGTCTACAATTATCGTACTTATATGTCTGGTCAAGTTCATGATATATTTTTAATAAATAAAAATTAACAAGTTTTGGTCCTGAGATTTTCAAATATCATAGTATCCGTACATAAGTTTTTCAAATATTTAAATAAGCCTTTTAAACATACATTCATCGGGTATATATGCGCGTCTTCACTCTCGTCAGACGCGTACAAGTACTTAAATAATATTTTTATACAGACTTTAGTGATTTAAATATAATATTTTATTGATTTAACAAATGATAATTCGATTGATCATTTCTCTAAGATTAATACTTTAATTGAGTGTTTAAATATTTTTTTACGGATTTAATAAATAATTATTCGGATAATCATTTCTCCATCGTTAATACTTTAATTTATTTTTAGTTTGGTGACCAATGATAATATGTTTATACAGATTTTAACAAATCTTTTTATATTATATATTTTTATGTTTTTGTCATATATATAATTTCAATAATACTTTTATATAGATTTTAAAAAATCTTTTTATATAATGTATCTTTCATGTTTTTTGTCATACATATATAATTTTTAAATTATACTATTTTTTTTGTAGAAATTAATTTATATTATTTTTAGGTCCTCCCATGCTTTGATTATTTTTTAAGTTGGACATAATAACATTTTAGACTGAAGCATGAACATTTTATATATATATATGCACTTTATGGATGAGAAAACAAGGGATTTAGAAAAGCATTATGAAACATGAACATTCATGAAGGGTAGTAATGAAGAGAGGAACATTCCTATGCCCGAACTCTCCGTTTTCTTCAAGTATCCGTATTCGTATTCAACACTTGCTCAATCCTGAATACACATATTCGACTCTAACATGCAAAGATTCAAATTTATACTTGGTAAAAGTATGAGCAGCAACATGACTTAATTTAAAGCCAAGGACTAGGGTAGAGCGAAAAGGAACTGTTGATCAACAAAAGCCACCTGAAAATAATGTCATCCCCTCTTCAAGCTGCGGATTATAATATGACACAAACACATTTGTTCTGTTTCGGTTCGTTTATTATTTTCTTTTCTGCACATTACGGAAAGGTAAACGTGTTACTTCACAGAACTGTATGGATTGCGGTTTTCAGACCGAGGAGTATTATTATTATAGTTTTTTGAATTGAATGAATACTAATTGTACCTTTCTCCAATGGAGGATGTTGAACAACAACGTGCATAGTCGTTACTCCACCAGGAACATCACAAAGAGGGCTCTGACACTCCCCCAGTGTTTTGTTGTTCTCCAATATTTTCCCTACATTAATTAATTTGACATCCTTCACTGTCCTTGGACCATTCTCCTTCTCTGCCCGAAGTTAAAACGAGTATAATTGATCAGAAGAATGTTAATTGGCTAGAACGAAATAAAATGCCAGAAGGTCATGTCATATACAGGAATAACGAAAGAACATAGAGAGAAATCCAATTTCATTCAATCAAAGAGAAAAGTTGAGACTTCCCCACAACCAGGGACGGATGCAGAACTTATAAAATTCTAGGGGGCGAAAATAGATATCAATAGAAAATACAATGAAAATATATAAAATATATGATAATACAAGCAATCCATTCCTTATTATCTTGTATGACATAATGTATGCACACAACCATTCCTTTTTCCCTTGTCTTTCTTCTGTTAACTAAAAGTAGGTCACCGTGTTTGCCATTTTCCTCTTGCATGAATTGCAGAACTTAGCTCAAACCACAGTTTTAGTCAACCCGCATAATTATAATTTATAATAAAACTTACTGCAAAACTTACATATGGGGACTACATACATAAGAAATGCAAAGCACTTAAGAGACAGAATCAAGAGAGTGAAACGGAGGGATGAGTTGAAAGCAGATCACACTAATACGAACAATACAAGCATAAATCTTAAAAATTCCATCTAGATCATCTCAGTTCGGAACTCAATTATAAATTGTTTGACAAAACTGCCTCAAACGTGCATCACTCAAAATAGTTTGAAATCCTGCATCCGGCACAGACATAATTATCAATAAAAAAAGGCTGTGATGCTATGAAGCAAACCAAAACCTTTACAGTATGTTGGTTTAAATGTAGCATACTAACCTACTTCATAGTTTGAAACTCAATAATAAATTGTTTGACAAAACTGCCTCAAACGTGCATCACTCAACATAGTTTGAAAGCTTGCATCCGGCACAGACATATATATCAATAAAAACAGCCTGTAATGTTATGAAGCAAACCAAAACCATTAGAGTATGTTGGTTTAAATGTAGCATGCTAACCTACTTCGGATGAATAAAATTATCATTTATCCATAAAAGAAAATATGAAACAGCATTAGTACACCACAATCTTTGACCAATACGAATTTGAGAGTATCATCTTATAACCGGAAAAGGCCCGAACTGGTTTCTATTCATATTTGTGATAGTAGTCAAGCATTTGCAATCCATTTACTGATCAAAGCATTCCAGCTACTCTACCATGGAGGATTGAATTTTGGGTCCTAATAATGATTCTATTTTCTTGTATAGTTTCACTCATCTGAAAATTAAACCAGCAAAATGAATAAACCACGAAAACATCAAAAAAGAATGTCATGAATGCGATACCATGATTCCAATCCTTCAAGTTCAAACCAAATGCTATAATAAAACAGTAACCAAAAACAAATTATCAAGTGAAATAAAGCTGAAAGATTCACCACAAAAATGCAATTGCATTTCATCAGACGCGCCTAGCTAACTAACCTTTGGGCCATTGAGCAATAACACTTTCCTTCAAAGTTGCAACACTTGTAGCAGCTGGAAAGGTTTTCGGACCGATATCGGATCCATCAGTCAATCGAAACTTGACCTCCAATTGATCTTGAACACTAGCCATCTCCAGAAACCTGAGAGATTCCAAAATCTAAACCCTCCCCAAGATCTTTACTTGGGACTTATCCTCAAATCTATACAAAAAACCCCAATCTAGAAGGCTGCAACGATGCTAAAATTCCTCTCAAGTACTTAGTTTCCTATATTTACAACAATCACATGCCCACCAAGAATTCTCATCTGTAAATTATGCAGAACTGAAATCACAAAAAGAAGAAAATGAATTAAATATGCAAGCAATCTATTTAAGGATAAAAGTGCAGAAAAAGTTCCCAAGTAACGCAAATTGGGTAAATCCAAAACCATAAAATCATTAAATAAGCAAAGATCCACCAATATAAAAATAGAACAGAAAATCTCCAAACTAAAGTATTTAAGAAGTGAAAATCTCCACACAAAAATCCAAAAACTTCTCCACCAAAACCAAATAAATAGAGAAAAAAAATAAGAGCAAAAGCCTAATGGGTTATCTTACTTGAGCCAAAAACTTATATGGGTTGGTTTCTTTTGGATGAAAAAGTCAAGTTTGAAGAAGGAAAAAGAGAAACCGATGGGGCGGCTTTGATGAAATCAACAATAGGAAGAGAGAGGAAGATGAAGAACAAGAAGAAGAAATCAAAATAGAAATCAATGTATATAGAAGAGAGAAGAAGAGGCGGTTTTGGAGTTTTCAAAGTCTTCTAAATCTAAATCTATGGTCAATGCTTCCATCCTTCCCATCTTCCAATCTCCTATGCTATGGAAATTTGCACTTTTCCTTTTCTCTGTAAAATATATATATATTGATGTGGTTAATTACAGACTTAGTCATTGAACTATTACTATATTTTCATTTTGGTCATAAACTAAAAATTTAAATTTCAACATTAACCTTTTATACCTTTTTGTGTACACTCAGCTGTATTTTCATTTTAGTCATTATTTATAAAAACTTTTTAATTTCATCACTACGAATTTTTTTATGTGTTACACTTCTGATAAATAGAAGAACTACCAACTAATAAAAATCATTCAATTTATAGTTTTTCCATATCACTATTTTTGACTCATAATTAACTTCTATGTAATCATCACTTTTATGTTTCCGTGAAAAATTTTAGGGTATATACACGAAGAATTTGTAAGGTTACACATTATTTTAAAGGTAAGAAAATCAAGTGGATTTGAAAAATCTTTAGTATGGAAAACTAAAGTAGTAGATGTAGACTTGATTAAGAAGTTGAACCGCACTAAATCGTTTTATAATTTTTCTATCTTTAAGTTGTTTCTACTTAATTTTTCAAAGAATCTATTCATCTCTTCTTGACACATTTCAGTTGTGTCGTACCCGTCTTTCGGGTGGGTCTGGAATTGAGCTTTGACTTAAATAAAATCATTAGAGTCGCCACCGATCATTTAAAAAAAATTTGTTGATCGGACACCATCTTACTTTATGTGCGTTTTACCAGAAATATGTCGGATTAGGGAGTCGATTACAGTCAATGAAAGATTAGCACCCTTGAACTGCCCTTTCGGTACCATTTAATTTGTCGATTATCTTAGTTGCGAAAATTAAAATTTAAATCGAAATTTAAAAATTCAATTCGAATTGCCTACCTTTGATCGATTGAAATTACTACTGAAAAAAGTCAAAAAGGTGTTAGATGATAAAATAAAATATTAAATAAATCACAGAGAGAAGAAATTAACTTAAGAAAATAAAAAAAGTAAAAAGAGAAAAAAATAAGACGAAGAAAATATTAAACTAAAATAAAATAAAAAATGAATAAATGTTAAATTTCAAAAGAAATAAAATAAAAAATAATAAAAAAATGAAGAAAATGTTTTTTTTTTAAAAAAAGAAATATAAAAAATGTTAAATTTAGAAATAATAAAATAAAGGAAATAAATAAAACTTAAGGGATCAAATTGGAATAAATTGAAATTTATGGATCAAAGTGATGCAAAAAATGAAATGCAAGAGAAAAAAACAAAAATTAGGGGGTTAAATTACAAAATACGAGAAGTATAATCGAGGATTAAATTGAAATAATTTGAAATTCGGGGGTCAATTTATAACAGGTGACCAAAATGAATTACACATCAAAACTTGATGGACTGCGAAAATAATTTAACTATTTTCTAAATACAATGTGGTCCCTCCCTTATAAATACCCCAAAACCCAAAATATATTCATTTCAAAACCAAACTAAAAAAACACAAAAATTTCTCCCAAACACTCTCCCCTTAAAACCAACCAGCCGAAGGGCTGACCACCGTCCCAGACTCGCACCATCGCCCAGACTGCCACTTCGGCCACCATGGAAAAAATAAAATTCCCCAAAAACGTTCCCCTCAACACCCTGAAGTGAAATCCGAGCTCAAAACCTCCTAAAAATGCCTCCTCCGACGTAGATCTAAACAAAAGTTTCGATTTTTACTCTTTTTTCGTCGGGGTTTCTTCACTTTTCCTGGTGACCGACGATGCTTCACGCTCCGATGACCCTCCTCGAGACAAAGCTCTACATTTTTGTTTTGATTTTTGGCTTGTGAGATTTTTCGTATATGCTTCCTGTATATGGCTCGGGTTTTTTATGTGCTGGTTGTCGTTTGTGTTTTTGGTGTGTTGTTGCTCGATTGATGTCTTGCTGTTCATTTTTGTATTGCTCTCCTTGTTTGGTTCCGTTGTGTTCCTTCGGTGGTTTTCGTTACTTCCCCATTGCTTGGCCTCACTGAGGCTTTTTATAGCCCCGATTTTGGTTGTTTTGAGCCCCGAAAGGAATGGGGTTTGTGGCTATTTGTGGGTTGACGAAAACCCCAGGATGGTGCAGTCCCAGGTTCTTCGGCTAGACGTTTCGGCCGGTGATTGGAACCTTGCTGGCGCGTGGCTTTCACGCGCGTGATTTGATCTCCCATGCGGCGCGATGTTGAACGTGGAACCCTAATTAAACCTTGGGCTGGTTCAGGTCCATTTAATTCCCTTGGACTGTTTTAGACCCTGGGCCAAAATAAAAAAATTAACATAAAATAATACATAATATATATATAACTAATATTAATATAATATATAATAATATGTCGAAAAAATAAAATGTTTTCTAAATTATATAATATATGTTTTCAAAAATTGATTTTCAAAACTATATAATATATATTCAAAAGTTGATTTTCAAAACTATATAATATATTTTCAAAAATTGTTTTTAAAACTATATAATATATTTTCAAAAATATTTTCAAAACTATATATTATATATATATATATATTTAAAACATTTTTAAAAACTATATATTATATACATTTTCAAAAATATTTTCAAAACTATATATTATATATATTTTTAAAAATGTTTTAAAAATATATATAATATATATATTTTTAAAATGTTTTCAAAACCATATTATATATATTTTCAAAAACCGTTTTTTTTAAAAATTATATATTATATATTTTCAATAACCGTTTTAAAAAATATATGTTATACATTTTTCAAAAAATATTTTCAAAAACTATACTATATTATTATATAAAAAAATTCCAGACGAAAATGAGTGTCTAAAGCTGCTCCACTTTGTCCTTTTTTGTGTAACGAAAAATAGGATAAAGATAAAAGGACACAAATTTTCGTTCGATATGAAGGAGTCCCTGAGTCTAATATCCTCCCTCGTGGAGTTGAAAATTGACTTTGATATTGCAATTAGGAATATCTCCCTATCAAATTGAGTTGCAGATGACTCTTCCGTCTCGAAGTTGAGTCAGTCTTGAAATGATATCATTCTTCATGGAATTGAAATCGTAGTTCGGAATTTGAATCGGAAGGTGACTTCTTGTTGCCAAATCGTAGTCAACCTTAGTCTTTTCCTTGATTTAAAGACCTCAGTTTGAAAATTCGACTGAAAAGTAGTTCCTCGACACTACCATGTGGTTGATATGCCTTCGAGCTGAATGGAATCGAACTCGAACGTTTTCGTTGACAGATAACTTTTCTCGAATTAAGTTATGTTGTACTAGGCTAAGAGATTGCCCCATATCGTCTTCTTGACTTAAAGACCCCGTCTTAAACTTTAACCGAAAATTAGTTCCTCACTGTCATCGAGCTGAATGGAATCGAACTCGAAGGTTTTTGTTGACAGATAACCCTTCTAGCCTTGAGCTATGCTGTAAATTTGATATGCCCTTGAGCTAAATAAAATCGAACTTGAAGGTTTTTGTTGACAGATAGCCCTTCTCTCCTTGAGTTATGCTGTAAATTTGATATGCCTTTGAGCTTAATGGAATCGAACTTGAAGGTTTTTTAAAAGATAGCCCTTCTCGCCTTGAGCTTAATGGAATCGAACTTGAAGGTTTTTGTTGACAGATAGCCCTTCTCGCCTTGAGCTATGCTGTAAATTTGATATGCCCTTGAGCTGAATGGAATCGAACTCGAAGGTTTTTGTTGACATATAACCCTTCTCGCCTTGAGCTATGTTGTAAATTTGATATGCCCTTTAGCTTAATGTAATCGAACTCGAAGGTTTTTTGTTGACAGATAGCCCTTCTCGCCTTGAGCTATGCTGTAAATTTGATATAACCTTGAGCTGAATGTAATCGAACTCAAAGGTTTTTGTTGACAAATATCCCTTCTCGCCTTGAGATATGTTATAAATTTAATATACCCTTGAGCTGAATGTAATCAAACTCGAAGGTTTTTGTTGACATATAGCCCTTTTCGCCTTGAGCTATGCTGTAAATTTGATATGCCCTTGAGCTGAATTTAATCAAACTCAAAGGTTTTTGTTGACAGATAGTCCTTCTCACCTTGAGCTATGCTGTAAATTTGATATGTCATTGAGCTGAATGTAATCGAACTCGATGGTTTTTGTTGACAGATGCCATTCTTGCCTTGAGCTATGCTATAAATTTGATATGTTCTTTAGCTGAATGTAATCGAAATCGAAGGTTTTTGTTGACATATAACCCTTCTCGCCTTGAGTTATACTGCGAACAGTTCCTTTAAGTGAAGAATGGCTTCCCTTCATGGGCCTAAGCCGATCATTATTCTTTAGATGACTCCCCTTCACGATAAATCCAAGTGGTATATTCTTCATGTGGTTCCCCTTCACGGGTCTAAACCAAGTGAGATGATCTTTGGATAACTCCCCTTCACGGGAAAGTCACGTGAGATTGAAATATGGCTTGAAAACTTTAGATGGAAACTAGCCACTCACCGTTGAGTTAAGCTGAATTGGATCTGTTCTGAATTGGCTCTCGAACCCGTCTGAAGTTGATTATAAGATATGTCGATCTTTTAATATGTCAAGTTGGTTTAGGTGTAGCTCTCTATTACTGAGTTAAGCAACCACCATCGATCTTTTTTGAAGGTGCTTTTGAGTCGAGTATCTTTTGTCTTGAAGTTGAAACTTGACTCTAAGCTGCAAAAATTATGTATACGAAAAATGATAAATGTGTTGGTCTTAAGTATGTCTAAGATGTATGCAACATGAATTAGTTCTGTTTTATCTCCTGGATGGAGCCTTATTTTTGTCTGTTGGTCTTGTCCTTGGAATCAATCATGCCCCATTTTCTTCTCGGGTTGTTGACAACGTCACGAGTTCTATCTGATTACTCGGACTATTTTCTTTTAAGAATGTGAAATGCTCTATTATTTTGTAATTGTTTATTCTTTCTTCAATAGAGGCAAATTGAGCCTCAATAGCTTCAAGGACCTTTCACATTTGAGATTGTTCTGTTTGAAAACGTTTTTCTCCTTTCTTTTATTTTAGGAGGGAAAAAAGATCTA